AGTTGAGTGACTTCTTCAGTGCAGACTGTAGATAGCGTCTTCCGTCAAAGAGAAAGCGTCTGCCGCCGAAGGTAAAGACGCAAAGACGTTAATATCATCACGACTGTCGCCATACACAAGAACATTCGAGAATATCCTCACGCACCTGTATTCTCTCACTTGTTCTCTCGTTCGTCGCTCATGACTCGTGTGAAAATATTATAGGTATATAGATTATATAGAAATTATATATGTTTTCGTATATGTAATTAATATATAAAAATATCTGTTACGTATAGGAATGTATACTTGCGCAATACATATGTGTATTTCGAATAATATTTTCATTCATTTAACCAAAATTGCACATTTCTCAAATTAAATATATATCCCATCTGTCAGATAATATTATTATTTCATCGTAACAGGTTAATCCCATTGACTAGTAGTTTACTCAGTTTCCTCCTCCATTATATTCATCACATAAAAGTATGCTTTGGATATCTTTATTTTTGGATTCCATAAGCTTCTTATCTTATTACTTCGATATAAGTAAGTAATGCTGCTAGTACTGTGCGAGTACAATCGTCATGCTTGCGGTATATCTATATACATTTTTGTACATATGAATATGAATAAACTATGAATAAACTATACAATATACTACATACTTTCCTATATGAAGTTCTCCATCCTTCTACTTGGCTTGGCCATCTAATTAGCTAATTAATTAGTAATTTCTCCTAGTACGCTTACGTGACATCGATGCCACTAAACTACTCTCTAAACTACTCTTTTCACGTATCTCCATTCGTGCCTGCACTGTGTCCTGATTCTGCAATTTTTTTATGATTCCAATTAGCTAAGCGTTACCAAATATCTGCGCTGGCAACTAGTCGTGAATCGGTCGTTTAATCGTCTTACAGCGTCAGTCAGGAATTAGGGGGTTTCGTGCGGGAAGTCCTTTTACGAAGTTTAGGGTATGGTTACTGTTAAGGATCTTTAACACTAGTTGCTTAATTATATTTCCACCACTGTAGATTAACACTTTGCGCGCAAAAGAGATAATTTTCTGGGTCGTTGACACGCAAATCGCCCGGAAGCGACGTTATTTAGAATCCCTCGACACGCAGGTGAAATTAGTAAGACAAGCAGGAATGAATTCTACACAGCTCTTCTGTTCTTGGATACTTGAGCCTAACGCTAGCGAGTTATTGAGAATAAGGGATGAAGAAAGTGAAACAAGGGACGGGAAATCCCTGAGGCGCCAACACGATGCCAGTCCCAGTATTTAATACCCCGTCGACCCCTCGGGATCCACCCGTTCCAATTCACGTATCTCGACCGATTTAATAAATATAAATGTGAAAAGTCACCCGACCTCGTACTCACCCCGTGGGACCATCGTGTTACCACCCACTACGGTGGATACAGGAATTTCGGTACAGGCGGGAGTATACACGGGAGGTGGCGAAGCTACTAAAACTGACGAAGAAGAAGTAACTCATGAGGAAACGAATGTTTTACGAGGAGAAATAAAATCAAAAGGGGAAATGATAGTAGAAGAAAACTTGGACCCTTCGTAACGGCATGGAGGGGGGAGTGGAATGGAGAAAGGAAGGGGATATGGGCTCTAAAAATGCAAAACGACAAATCAGTCTGAATTACGAGCGGCGTCACTTTATTTATCATTTTATGGGAAATTCGTCGCCAGCGTCCCACCGTCCCTTGTCCAGCCTTCTTTTTTGCATGCCATTCCCTGGTACTCCTGTCTACTCCTTCGAAGGAACTTGCTCTACTGCGACCCCATTAAATGGCCCGACGGATAACATCCTCCTATCCTTGTGATACTGTAGGAACAAGTCGACCAAACACGATCATCATTTTGGGACTCTAAACTTGGTCCTATTACAAAAAAAAAAAAAAAAAAAAGAAAAACTCCTTCGAAGGAACTTGCTCTACTGCGACCCCATTAAATGGCCCGACGGATAACATCCTCCTATCCTTGTGATACTGTAGGAACAAGTCGACCAAACACGATCATCATTTTGGGACTCTAAACTTGGTCCTATTAAAAAAAAAAAAAAAAAAAATACGAAAAGAATCGACCACGTTATATTCGCCATTTATGACCACCGTAGCAAACTCTCAATGGTCTTAAGAAAAATTGCACTATTTCAAATGGAGTGACATACCCTTCTTTCCCTGGGGTCTGTTTACTTATGAGATTCGCATAGATGGCGACACTACTTACATTTCTAAAGATTAGTGCAGCTATTGTATCAGCAAACGAAAAAGGGAGGGGTAGAGAATGAGAGAAGGAGAGAGAGAGAGACCATTAAGAGAGAACAAGAGAAACGCACGCGAGGAGAAACGATGACACGTGCCTCTAGGGAATGAAATCGTGTCTAGAAAATATCGTATCTATCCCATAACACGAAGTTCTCCCAAGGGTGATAAAAACAGCCCCGACTCGGCGACGGTTTATTCCTCATTATTTTAATTGCGTTTATAGTCGCGACGCTTCCAGCCGAATGGACTTCCGCTGAAAATTTATCGAAACTTTCGTTCTCGCATTGAGAATCGATCAGAATCCATTAAAAGATCCACCGTCATATATCATCCAATTCTCCAGGCGAAATTACATTAATTTAATATTCCGTAAATCTTGTGCGATTTGTCTGCCTATTTTCAAATACAATACAATAATGTAGCAGTGCTCGTTTACACTACGAGCAGCAGTGAAAACCTACCCTAAAGTTTCAGTTTCTAAAAACGCTTAGTGACGAGGGGTAAGGGTAATTGTCCAGGAATTGAAGTCTCGTTAACTAGCATCACAGTGCGGTAAAGTAAAGGGCTTGTTTGATTGGTAAAACTTTGATTTCGATTTGAGACGCTGATATCTACGAGAGTTTCTTTCTTCGGGGTAAGTTCAGCAGGGGTAAGTTCTTTGGGCTCCAGGAATAAGTCTCGGGCCTATCGCCCATATAGCCGCTCCAGGACTTGGCTTTAATTTCTTCTCGGTCATCCTAAGAAAGTCAACCCGGTCTTTCTAGAAGGATCTCGCTCCCTACCATCCCTATTCGCCCGTCAAAACTTTCTCAGAAAGTCCTTTAATTGGAAAGAGTTCTGTCGTCCTTGTATACCCCTTGTGTCCCTACTGCTGTAGCTATTCTTGTAAAAGGGGTTGGAATCGAATAAGTACGAATCCAAGATCGCTCGTTTAGCGACTAATTGCTCATAGCTCCCAAGGGAATCCTCGTCTGGAAGTGACGAATCTCTCGGGATTCTGGTAGCGAGCTGCGTCCCCTTATCTGGCTGAGCTTTTTTTAGATACCGTAGAAAAATACAGTCCGAGCCCCAAGGAAACACGGATGAGTCTAAGGGAACCTATTTAGAGCGCTTTTTTTACGACTTGGCACGTTTCCTCCAGTAGAAAGAAACGGACGGATCAAGATGGAGTGGTTGGAGGAAGATTGTGTATTAAAAAAATAAAAGATTGAAAAAATAACAGTATCCCATTCTCCAAATTTATAGAAATATTCCGAGTTCTTCCCCAGTGGAAATTTCATCATGAAAATTCAAAGCCCATCGTGATTACATCGAGGCTCTGAAAGCCATAGCCCGGCTCTGAAATCACGAAAGAAAATTTCTAGCAGGGTTCCTCTGAGAATAATAGCGCTGACATTACTAACATACTAAAGGGTGTCGTACTCGTCATATAAGGTATATCTTATACATAGAATGTATGTATAAGATAGTACACAGAATATGTTTTACTTATTCAACTTGAGAAGCACTTATGTTTCCCCAATGGGCAGCGAGTAAATGGAAGCCACCCCCTACGGTAATGCCACAAAGGGGGTTGAGAATAGCAGCTCGTAGAGGTGGTTGAATTTTACTACCAGTTGGCGGACGTTTTTAATAGCTGTCCCTTTTCTCCGTTTAAATGCTTCCTCTATGTTTTTATATTTTTCTAACCTGCTTCCACATTCGTCCTATACCAGGATTAAATTAAAGAACCCGCCAAATGAGAACTTTATATACCTGCTGGATACCGACTGGCTGCATAAGGATGAAAAAGTGAGCAAGAAAAACATTATAGAGGAATAAGGAAGAGAGAGAGAGAGAGAGAGAGAGAGAGAGAGAGAGAGAGAGAGAGAAATAAAATTGCAGAAAAATGTTGAACTAATAAGGCTGTGAAAAGAAATGAGAAAGCTAAATAAAAAGAGAGAAGGAGAATTTTCATTGGTCGAATAATGTGCAGCTTTCGCGTTTCACACGACGTTTTATAATCCGCTTGATAAGTCGTTTTCGTTGGCATAGTTTAATTTTACTATAATTTCGAGGCCATTCAGTAAGGTCACCTCTTTTTCCAGAGTTTTCTAGAGACTCTGGAGCGCTAGTGGCTTCATTCCCATTTAGACACTTCATGAGTTTAAACTGGCACGAGTGGCGGCCTACCCTTCCTCGGAGCTCATGGACTTGCGTCTGCTTTCCTCACCTACGATTTAATTTAATTTCCGCTGACCCTCCCGTACATCATTTACACACGCGTATTCTGATTATTACATCAGGCACTCTCTTGGTTACCATGTAACGCGATGCCACCTACAGGGACAGTTTTCTAGCTAAGTTTTTTTCCTTCTCACATCACGTTCCCGGAGCTCGATTACAGAGCCCGTTTTCTTAACCCTGTGGCACGGATCTCATTGGTGCTATTTGATAATAAATGACAAAATGAGATTAGAGAGAGAGAGAGAGAGAGAGAGAGAGAGAGAGAGAGAGAGAGAGAATTTTGAAAGCAAAATAGTCATCGTGAGATAGGCAATGTCATGTGGTAAATTGATAGAGCCGGTGATACCTTTGTGCTTGCACTCGGGTAAGGCGTCCCGACGTCGACGTTTAAATATCGACGTAGCGTCTGCACGTTAATTCTTTAGACAGCTTCACTTTTCACTCTACTTGACTTTCTTTCACGACTCTTGAACTACTCGTGACACCATCTTCTTCCGCTCTAGGTTAGGGTGCCTTCTACTGTTCGTGCTGGTGCTCTATGAAGAAGAGCCCCCACCTCGTACTAGGGGTACAAATTTCTTCAGCAGTGAAAGCATCAGGACGCTGCTGAGTCACGCGAACGGTACGCCTCAGTGGATTCGTATTTGCCCTCTATGGCTCAAGAGAAAATCCGTTTTACCGTATTTCACGATATGATCGGCGACGAAGAATGCGGAGGACGTGGTAGAATGGGGGGATATGGCGGTAGGGGGAGGGAATGGGGGACCGGGAGATTTGCATTCGCGTGGATGAAAGTGCAGCATCGATATCAGTTATAGCGCTTGAAACCTCCTTGAAAGTCCTATAACCAACCGATATTGGTATTCTCTTGGTCTGAAATTCTTAGGGAATCTGGAGTTCACCTTCTTTTTCCTTTCTTAAAGGAGGATAAAGAAAGGTCGAGCCTAATCATATTTATATGTCGTGGCTATATGCGCGGCAATGGAAACAGGAGTGTAGGTGGAAATGAGAATGGGTGGACTAAAATAAAAAAAAAATAAAAATAAAAAAGAGCTTGGATATATCTAATGCCTGTCCGTTTCCAGTGTCCATTCTGGAAACCCCTCAAGGTTCACTCTCACTGTTCCATTCCCTTCATTTTCTTCCATCCCTTATTCATTCCTTGAGGTATCTTTCCCCTCCCTTATATTTCACGTGAATACACGACTGAAAGCAGTCCAGTTCTTAAGGTAGGAACCGCGAAATTTTCTTTGTAAATTTTATTTCATCAAGAGCTGACAGACGATCTCCCTCGTATTCACAAGGATGCCTCAGTCAGAGATACGCCGTGGTAGCAGCGAGGTTGACAGTCTTAAATAGGAAGAGACGTGAAAACCCGAGATTGCGATATGAAGGCACGTGTAAGCAGTCCGCGCATCGATCTAGAATGGAAGAGCTGCATCCCCATCCCCCTCCCCCTCCCTCTCCCCGGTTTGTCATTCCACGCTTTCCGATCTAACCCTGGAAGAAAAGGAGCCTCATCATCCTCCCGGCCTAATTTCATGGATCTGGAACGAGAGCAGAATTCTCCCTTTGCCATTTTATCCCAGCAGGATAGAGCCGAGATATTCCTATGCCAAACTCATCCTTCGTTTTCCATTCGCTCCTTATGCTTTCTGCCCGTCCGCGTCTCTTCTTTTCCGGCAGACTTGCTGTACTCCAACGTTCAGAAGGAGATCTGGCTGCGCCCATAAAAAGCAAAGTGCTTGACGGACCCGCGGACGCTTTTTCTGTAATTCACGAAGTCTCTCTATATGTATACCTTTCGCCCAGCCAGACCAAAGGCTAGCATCGTTATATATATCTACCAACACCGGTAGCCATACAACTCTTGCTCTCTCCCCGCCGCCATTTATACTATGGAGGACCTGCCGCCAGTTGCCAATGTGTATTTACTTTGTTTTAGGTATGCACACAAGTCTTAGCCCGGGAATGGACCTCGTTAGGTGGCCAGAGAAAAAGTGTGAGGAAACTTCTGAAGGGAGACTGGTAAGGTTACGACACTCAATTCCTCGAGAACGATATAAGCCAAAGCTTAAAAGATCGAGGAAAAGCTCAGGGCGTGAAATGTGAAGTAAATAAAAGATTTAAAAAAAGGAAGAGAATTCTCTATCGTAATCAGTGCCAATAGCATCTTGCCGCGTCGAGTTAAGATTGCGTCTCTTATGGCAGGGATAAATCTAGAGTAGAGAGCAGATAAATGGAAGAAAATGGAAAATGGACGAAAGACGATACGTATTCCTGCAGGATTCTCCACGTGCCCCATTAGGAATTCTTCCACCACGAAATCCTTGAGTCAATCAGAAGGGATTACTGGAAATCGCTGGCCCCGGGATAGAACAAAATAATGAGAACAGAGAGAAAAGCGAAAAGAAGAAAAAAAGATTAAAGGGAAGTTGAAAAAAGGGAAAGGCATGTAAAGTGTAGAATAGAAAAATAAAAGTAAAACCAGAGGAACCGCGTAAATAAGTGCGTAGTCCTGAAGGAGGGAGGAAGGCATACGATGGTCTTCTCGCGTGTCGGTAGTCCGTTCGCCAATAGCAAAGCAACCGTGATTCATGTACGCAACTCCGGAAGTGATTGTTCCTATTATTTCCTTTGCCCCATTGTATGTACTCCTCTATTTTTTTGCTCACCTTCTTTACTTTTCCTTACTTTCCTCCTCTGTCTCTTGGTATACCCACGCAGAAATACTTTTGGATTTAGAAAATAACGCTGACGACCCCATTGGAATTTCAGTTGCAGCGTGCGTTATACGGAACATCGCAAAAAAATTCTGACAGCGCGAAGTTGGAATGGACCGGGATAAAAATTATTTTGAGAAAGTTCACGTGACTTTGAGTCTACATTAGCCGAGGGGATTTCTATCCATGGACGTTCCCTGTGCTACGGCGTCTTTCTTTCCTCCCCCCCCCCTGGATCCCCAGCCCACTCTCCTTCTCTCTTTCATTCTTTCTTTCTTTCTTTCATCGGTTCTCCTGGGGATCGTGAGAGCCGCGCCAGCTGAAGCGGCGATTCCTGTACAAAGTATCTAAGACTACAGGAAGCGCAGCTAATGATTCCACCTAACACGAAGCAAATGTTGCGCCCTGTCTCGCGTCAGCGACTCGTTAAACGTCCAATACTCTTCCCTTTGCCACAACCAAAAATCTCGAGTAGCTGCGCACACCCATACGTATGCTTTGTGCGTACGCCTTCGTGAGCTGTAGTTTTGTTAGTACCTCCTATATGAGGCTGTACGGTGGTTCGACGAGGTGATGCCTTTACGAGTCCAGCATCCAGATACGTACGGAGCGATTTTGAAGACGGGACAAGACCGAGTACATTGAACTGTAAGTGCCATAAGTGTCGCGTAGCCGTATACGTGCAAAATTTATGAGTTTATTCCTCGGTATTAGTTGAAAAACACTGGAGGCGACTGTAAGCAGCCTTCCTCCCGTACATGTATCGGCCGTTCGCTTAGCCGCGCCGAGCAAATTTACGTCTCGTAAAATATATCTCCAGGGACTTATTTATCGAGCTTGTCTTGGGGCTACGCGAAACATGTGCATCGTGTGTAGCGCTATCCATTTACGCGCATACGCACATACTCGTTTATGTCTCATGCTTCTTCGTACTACCCGTGTATCCATAGGGAATATGCGATGCGTTCAAGAAAATATAAAACATTTCTCACGTCAATTTAATCTTTTTTTTCGGTGCGTTGTTGCACAAGGGTTGATCCCTTGCGGAGGATAGCACGTGCTCATTAACGGACAAAGTTTTTCACTTAAGGCAAGCCAAGAACTTACCCTTCTACGTGTAGTCCAGATACCTGTTAGATGTGCCATAGCCATGAACGCGGAGGTGTCAAGTGCTTATGTTAGAGCAGTTAGGTTGAGTTAGGGTGCAATCAAGTGTTGAGACCGTTAGCATCCGTTGCTCGTATTAGCGTGAGACGAGCCTGATGAAAAGTACCGGATGAAGGCCAAAGACGCACGCTCAATTATCTCGACGATTATCTCGTTACCGAGTAGAATTAATATTGTCACGCTTCGTTTTCAAAAGAAAGACATGGAAAAGAGAAAAGAACTGCGGAGAAAAAGAATTTACCAAACGAGAATATTTGTGCGATGTTGCGCTGACGACTCTAATTAGTAAGAAACCTTGCCCTCCTTCCCCCACTACTGTATAATACGTGTGAGTTTCTTTCTTCCTGTCTCTCTTGCACTCACTCGCACAGTCTTTGCCCGAAATTCTGCTACTGAAACGACTGAATTGAATCGCTATCAGCACCTCTATAGCGATCATTGTCACCGACTCAACCGACACCTCCCAATGGCTTAATAAACTCAGTGCTCTTAAGTAAAGGAAAACTTTCAAAATAAAGGTAACTCAGAGGCATTAATGAAAGTCAGAAGTCACGTTAAATTGCACGTATGCTTTGCTGGTACCTCTTATGGTCAAATTTTTCCTGTCGCCAATGCGTATTCAAAGTAGTTATAAAAAAAAATTGAAACATGTGCTGTCATGTAAAGTCGGTATAAGTAGTACGTGAAGGTAAGACTGTTTACTGATTTCTTATTCTTTTGTATTAACGAGAGAGAGAGAGAGAGAGTGAGAGAGGGAGGGAGGGAGGGA